GGTTCAGCTCCAAACTCTGCGACATCAAATAGTAGCCAGCCGAGGAGCGCTCGTCCCAATCTTCCTGCAGCGTGGGGTCACTCGGTCTAGGCTCCTCCCCAATCATTAGTTTCAGCAAACCGATCTGACGGAAATATAATTGCATTTTCCAGGCCCAATCATCATAGCCCTCACCATTGAACTTCTCGACGGTGAAATTCTTCAGCACCTCCTTGACAAGCGAGCCCTGGTTTGTTCGCGCTCCCCTTGGCGCTGAAAGACCAGAATCTTGGCTGCCGCTACGATCTTGGGCTGAAGATTCACCAGCTCCCGCCGAGGTGTTGCCCGCCATAGCTACCTATAACGAGGATCACTATAACGCAGCTCTGATACCAGCTTGTTGGTGTAAGGGCCTAATAAACTCAAGCTATTAGGACTTAATCAAACTTAAAACCTCTCCTCGGGATCACCTCCAAGGGTCCCTGGGTGCCTGGTACAAGACCAGCCCCTATCCTCGGGTCCGAGTTTGTAGAGAGAGGGATCAAGAAGGACTTAGTCAAAACAGCAAGAGTACCTTGAACGTCGCGCAGCGTGCCGTGCAGACCGTCGGTCGGATTAAGCTGAGAACTTGCTATATCGAAGCTCGCTCCAAGAGCTTTAAAATGAGCCAAGTTGCCTCGCAAAAAGTTCTGCCATTACTAAGTTATGGCTCGGACAGCGTTTGCCTAGCGTTGGAGTGCTAGCATACTAGCGTTGACTCGGGTAGCATTCCGCCGTCGAATAGCGCAGAAACGAAATTCCAGCGAGGAAGGAATTCGCTTGAATCAATTTTACTATATTCAGGTACAAACAGAGAAGGATTAAATAGTTCTAGCTAGCAAGGACCTTGGGAATCAACCTGGGAACAACCAGGGATGATCCCAAATAATTCCAAGCAACAGAACCAACCTGGCTGGACAAAATAGCAGGTGGTAGGTTGGTAAACAACCTCTGGTTCTGTTTTTCCAACCTGGGAAAACAACAACCAGGTTCAGGTTCTAAAAACAGAACCTGTTTTGTCTTTGCCCAACCAGCCAAATGCTGGTTCCGCATGCAGATACAGACAAACAACATCCAACCTTCACCTAAATTATACCCCTATAGTGCCTTCCCTGCTACACTATAGTTAACCAAACAAAACAGTACAATTCCGAGTTGGATAGAACTGAATCTGCGCAATCAACTCAACCGAACTGCAAAGCTTCCATCTTGGGTTCCTTTGTGAGCTCGTCCTTTCTGCTTGCACTGTTCATAGCGCATACAATGTTGTGCCGAAGCGCACATTGCGCGAGTACCTGCAAATGCATCAAGCGAAAAATGCGAAAGCAAACAAACACACGAACACACCATTCACACACAAATGCATTCGCACACGCATACTCGTACAAACAGACGGCAGAATGTCGTGCAATGTGCATTTGCACCCAACACTTTGCAGCTTCACTATTTCAATACGGGTGAAAAACATAATCTCTTAAAAATTAGTATGCAGATTTGCTTTACATTAATAATAATTTAATAAAAATGCTTGAATTGCATGTTAAGGTACGTAGTTATTTAGAGTTCGCAGTTTCTGAGAAGCATGCGGGCTCGATTCCTAACGCAGGTAAAAGGTCTCATTGTTTTCGCGAATGTTCCTCTCTAACCCTTCAAGAACTAGCTCAGTACCGTCACTGTATCTCGCAAGGGTCAAATAAAAAATCATTTTGGAAAAAAGGGGCCCATAAGCAAACCGAGCCTTATAGTAAGTGTCATAAGGATGAATCACCCTTATATCCTGGGGCCTGCACCAAGGAGAAATTTGAGAATGTGTGACTCCACAATAAGACGCTAGGTGCATATAGCAAAGAAATAAAGAAAGGGGTGCACCACCTACAAAAGAACTACACTACTACACGCAAGTGTAGTATATAAATATTAATTCATATTGAAACGTGTGCGACGAATGGGCGGCGCGCGGCTGGCCGGCAAGCAGTCGGCGGTAGCGCAGCGGTCACGCACAGCGGGATGGGCGGGTGGGCGGCGTACGTGCAGCAAGCACGCAGTGGAAGTGGGGCGGGTGGGCGGTGGGCAGGGGCAGCGCGGGCGGGCGGCTGATGCACGGGCCCTCTAATGGAAAGAGGTGGCCGGTATTGAGGGCGGGCACAGCGATCAGATGTATCCTCATCGGTTTGGATAGCAACAACTAGGTTTGGTTTGGGTAGTAGCAGTTAGACATTCCGACCCTCTGCAAGAATATTGATAGAATCATGGGTGTTCTTTCTTCACTGTCAATAACTTGCAATCTCGTTTATTTTGTTTTTTATTTGCACTTACTTTTCTTTTGCAATAAGGATATTTACCTTAATTTTGAAATAAGAACACCCCCTTGTTAGATTCGAGCTTAAGGACGCTTTTCTAAGCAACCCAGATTCTAAGGGTTGATTACGATCTGCGACCATGAAAACCAGGGCTACAATTTGAGCAGCTTTGGGATTCAAAGTGTTGTTCCCAAGGACTTTGACAGGCCTGGTGGAAAGGCGGGTCAATACGCAAGAGACTGCACAGAGGAAACGCCGGCAAAGGGGAAATGGGAAGAGTCATTATTTAGCGGGCCCCTTACTGTGCTCTGTCGCCCGAACCCCACCATCCCCACCAAGTCGTGGTTCCGATTCATGCAATCGATCGCACTCGGCCGAATAACGGGGATAACCATGTGGATCACCCTGTGCTAGTTGCTGGCAGAGTGTTAAAAAATAATTTAAAAATGTTCGTCGATGGCGGGGCTAGCCATAGCCTCTTCAACTTGGCGACAGCAAAAAAATGCAAGCTGCAACTTGATATGTATCTGCCCAAAATCGACGCTCGCCTCGTGGATGGAACGCCCCTGGCGACACTGAAGAAACACGAACGGTGTGGATCAAATGCGGCGATGATTTCGCCTTCAGCATGAAGTTTCTCGCGACAACGCGAAACAACTGCAACATGCTTCTGGGACGTGATTGGCTAGCACAACTCCATCATCGATAGGACGGTGGGATCATGCAGCATCCGCAAATACGAGGAGCCCATTATGTTGCCTGCATGGACACCTGTCTACCTCCAAGCCCTGTGCGTCGAAGCCGTCACTATTGCTCGCCACTTCAACTGAGGCGCACAGCTGTTCGCCGTATGTTTGCGCAAGTTGGCAGCCGACACCGACGGAAAGGACATCGAGAAGCTGTGCGCAGCTGTACCACCTGATTTAGCGGAGCTGATTCGACAGTAGCCGGACATCTTCCCTGACGATCTGCCACCTAGACTGCCACCAAAGAGACCCGAAGACTAGAAAATCAGCTGGAACCTAGCGCGCAGCCAACTGTTCGGACACAGTGGCGGTTGACCCAGCCGGAACTCGAGGAGTTGAGAAGACAACTTAATACACTGTTGGAGAAGGGGTTCATTCGACCCAGTACATCTCCCTTTGCAGCGCTGATCGTGTTCACAACGAAAAAGGATGGCGGGCTTCGCATGTGCATCGACTATCGTGCATTCAATAGGGTGACAAGCAAATCTCGCTATCCAATCCCACACACCAACGACCTCCTAGATCAAATTCGCGGTGCTCGCTACTTCTCGAAACTGGACTTGCGTGGCGGTTACCATCAGATTCGGGTCTTCGCTGACAATTGTCACAAGACCGCGTTTTGCACCCGCTACAGAAGCTGCGAGTTCACGGTGATGCCGTTCGGCCTCACAAACGCGCCATCCACATTTCAACTGACCATGAACAAGGTTTTCCAAGATCTACTCGATCGCCGCGTCATCGTCTATTTGGAGGATATTCTTATCTTTAGCAAGACACGGGAACAACACCTCCGCGACCTTGACGCAGTGTTTAAACGGCTACAGGACACTGCCTCATCACCAAGGGCTCTAAGTGCGAGTTTTTTAAGCAAGAGTTGGAGTTTTTGGGGCACGTAATATCCCATGATGACATTAAAATTGACCCGGTGAAGATCAAGACCATTCAAGAGTGGAAGCCCCCAAATAATGCCACGGAACATCAAAGTTTTTTTTTTAGGTTCGTGAATTATGTCCGGCGGTTTATCCTAAATATGGCCGGGGATAACCGGCTCGATGACGGGCTTACTGCACAAAGACAGAGAGTTTGTGTGGGGGGAGGAAGCAGAGGCGGCTTTCCTGGAGTTGAAGAATATTCTCGTTTCCCCTCTGGTTTTGTGCATCGCTGATCCATCGAAGCTGTTAGAAATCGTCACCGACGCCTCAGATTTCGCCATCAGAGTTGTGCTTCTCCAAGATTTCGGGAACAGGCTGCAGCAGATAGCCTACGAGTCACGCAAGCTACAGTCAGCCGAGCGCAACCCTCCGATACATGACAAAGAGGTGCTCGCCATAATATACGCGTTCAAACTGTGGCGCTGCTACTTGACGGGCGCCGACGTCATTGTTCGCATGGACCACAGGTCCCTACAGTTCCTGCGAGCCCAGCCCAACCTCAACCCGCGACAAATTCGGTGGCTGGATTACATGGAAAGCCACTTCACCTACCGCATCACGTACAAGAAAGGGGCGAATAACATCGCCGACGCCCTGACCCGACCGACAGTTCAATCCACTGCAGTACTCATCATTCATTCGAGCCCGCTACTTACACTACGACCGGAAATCACCAGCAGGCGACGATGCCGAAGGGGGATTTTTACCTAAAAGCCGAAACTGACCGGATTTGGGTTCCCGCTTACCGGCAACTGCATGAGCTCCTCATCCAAGAGGTCCACAATTCAAATATCTCTGGACATTTCGGGGTTGATAAAACCCAGAAAATGCTGCACCGACATTACTACTCGCCTGACTCTTCTAACAACGTCCAGTGTTATGTGTCCTCATGCAGGGTATGCCAAGCCATGAAATCGACACGGTAGCGGCCAGCTGGATAGCTGCAACCCCTGGAGCCACCCAAACGACCATGGCAACAAGTATAAAGTACAGTACAAAGAATGTCAAGCAGTGAGCAAGTGAGGAAACGTGGACACAAGGCCTAAAGAAGTACAGTGCCGCTGATGATCACTAGGCGGGAGCGCCTTGGTGAAGATATCAGCAGTGTTGGCCTTCGAGTCCACGTACACAAGCCGAAGCTGACCGCGCTGCTGAAGCTCTCGAGCAAGAAAGTAGCGAAGAGCAATGTGCTTCGTCCTGTGCTCCAGTCTGTGCTCCTGACACAAGGCAAGAGCCGCCTTGTTGTCACCGTACAGAACTGGAGGAGAACTAGGCCGCTCTCCCAAGTCAGTCAGCAGGTAGGTGAGCCAGCGTAACTCCTGTGCAGCCATGGCTGTGGCGTAGATCTCAGCCTCACAACTAGAGCCGAGAACAGAGGAAGAGCGGGTGGACCGCCACGAGACAGAACCAGAGCCAAGGCTGAAGGTGTAACCCTGTGACGACCGCTGCGTAGCCAGGTCGTCCACCCAAGAAGCGTCCGAGTGACCAGTGAGGACAACTCTGTCGTGTCCTCCAAGCACCAGCCCCATGCCTGATGTACTGCACAAGTAACGCAGCACCCTCTTAGCAGCCTCCCAGTGCTCTCGCCTGTGTCTCCCAGGTGCAACGTAACGAGCAAGGATGCTAAGAGGGTACGCGAGGTCAGGTCGCGTGCAAGTCATCAGGTACATGAGGCAGCCTACAAGCTCTGGGTACGGGCCACTCGGCTCTACGGACTCGTCCGAAGGTGGAGCTGAGAGCGAGTGGCTGGTAGCCAGAGGTGTGGCCTGTGGTGAGGAGAACTGGAAGCCGAAGCGCTGAAGGACCTGCTGCACCATGTGTGACTGAGTCAGGGTGATGGTGCGGCGAGCTCTGTCCCGGGTGATCTGCAAGCCAAGGTAGCTACGCAGTTCACCCAGGTCAGTGCAGGTGTGTCTCTTCTGCAGCTCCGACTTCACACGAGCGAGTGCCTCAGTGTCAGCAGTAGCAAAGACCAAGTCGTCGACGTACACAAGAATGTAGAACGGCGGCAGCGACGTGTCTGTGCGCAGAAACAGCGACGGGTCAGCAGTAGACGGCGCGAACCCAAGAGCCGCAAGTGTAGTCCTCAGTGTGTCGTGCCACTCACGTGGCGCCTGGCGGAGACCGTAGACTGGCCGGCGGAGGCTCCACTGGGTACCAGGAGGAAACGACCCAATGAAGCCAGGTGGGCGGCGCAGCCAGATCTCCTCGTGCAGGCTGCCCTGCAGGAACGCTGTGCTGAAGTCAAGAGAGTGAAGCTCGTAGTCACGCTGAGCAGCAACGTGCAGCAGAACCCGAAGAGTGGTCATCTTCGGGGTGGGGGAGAAGGTCTGGAAGAAGTTGACCCCCTAACGCTGACTGAAGCCTCTAGCAACGTAACGAGCCTTGAAGACAGGCGGAGAACCTGGCGGCCGCTTCACCCTGAAAATCCACATGCCATCGACGATGTTCGCCCCAGGAGGGGGAACCTCGTCGACGTAGGTGCCTGTGGACTTCCAGGATGCCATCTCTGCGTCCATGGCTGTCTGCCACTGAGAGGAGTAGGGACCCGAGATCGCCTCTGCGTAAGTGCGCGGAGTGGGGATGTCTAGTGCATCCGGGTCTCCCTCAGGGGCAAGCAACCAGGCCACGAGATGAGGTACAGCAGCCGCAAGAGAGTCAAAGTCCTCCTGCCTGTCCTCAAGGACGTCCGTGCCAAGAGCACACTCACCCCTGACGGACGGAGGACAGACAGACGCAGACTCAGGCTCAGCAACAAGGCTAGCAGCGTAGTCTAGACGACAGGCAGCAGCAAAGTCAACCAACTCAGCGACCAGAGCAGACGCAGCCGAGGACTCAAAGGTAGGGTCAGTGACAACAGTAGCTAGGAGACGCGTGACTGTAGGGTGCTCAGCGTGATACCGGTCAGACTCAGGGTCCGGAACGGCAGGCAAAGAGGACGCAGGAGGAGACGGTAGAGGGACACGCCGAGGAGCAGTAGAGGGACGCAGAGTCATGTAGTGAGTGCCTGGGACAGGAGGAGGACGCTCACGACGGACACGACTACCAGTGCGAGCAGGACGAACAGGCGACGCAGGACGAGACTCAGGCTCACGACGCTCTGTAAGACCTCCTGTGGGACCAGTGTAAGGAGAGGGAGCAGGGAGAGGTGAGGCAGGCGGTAACTGTGACTGCGGCTGGACAGGCGGAGGACACTCTACGGAGGGAGGAGGACAAGGAGGAGGAGCCTGCCCAAGAACCTGCTGAAGGAGCGGTACGAAGTACGGTCGCGGCCGCGCAGCGTCTCCAGAAGCAGAAGAGACTCCAGCGGCCGGGTCCTCAGGACCAGCAGGAGCTCCAACGTCCGGGTCCCCAGCACCAGCAGCAGCGCCACCGCTCGGGTCCTCAGCTCCAGCAGCAGCTCCACCAGGCGGGTCCGCAGCACCAGCAGCAGCGCCACCCCCAGAGTCGGCAGCTCCAACTCCGCTAGCACCGCCAGCGCCAGAGTCCCCAGCTCCAGCAGCTCCAGTCGCAGTGCTCCCAGAACAACCAGTCCCGGCAGCTCCAGTACCCCCAGTACGAGCACCCCCAGGACCCCAAACTCCAGCCGAGCCACTAGGACGGCGAAAGCGCCGGACGTACCAGTCACGAAGCTGCTGCGGTGTGAGAGACTGCTCAGCACCCCGAACCGGAGCACCCCCAGACGCAGTAACCCGAGGCTCCGTAGGCTCAGTAGCAGCACCCCCAGGCTCAGTACCCGCAGGCTCAGTACCCGCAGGCTCAGCACCCCCAGACTCCGCACACGCAGGCTCAGCACCCCCAGTCGCAGCACCCCCAGGCTCAGCACCCCCAGGCGGCAAACTCTCAGGCACAGTACCCTCAGCTCCAGTACCCGCAGTCCCAGCACTCCCAGGCCCAGCACCCGCAGGCTCAGCACCCCCAGGCTCAGCACTCCCAGCAGTACCACCTGCAGCAGCACCTGAGTCACCTGTGACCTCGACAGGCTCAGCGACGGGAGGAGGGTCTACCTGAGAGACACCTGAAGGAGCAGGACCCTGAGGGGGAAGGGGGTCTACCGGAGGGGGACCAGGAGCAAGGAAAAGCGGCGGGGGAGGGAGGGGGGCAGTGCGGTAGGGGAAGAGACGGTAAAAAGGGACCGACTCGTCAAAGGTGACATCCTGAGAGGCGAAGACCCGGCGCGAGGTGGGGTGGTAAAACTGCCAGCCACGCGCGTCAGGGACAAAGCCAAGGAAGACACAGGGAAGCGTGCGGGAGGAGAGCTTGTCCGCGGACGTATCGCGGACAAGGGCACGAGCACCCCACACCCGGAAGCGCGACGCATCGCCAACCTCCCCCGTCCAACGCAGTGTGGGCGAGGTCTCCGGCAAGGAGACACGGGGCCAGAGGTTGAGCTGATGCGCGGCGTACCGGACAGCAAACGGCCACAGAAAATGGGGAGCCGCCGCGTGGACCAAGGAGGTACGAGCGACCTCCATGACCAGGCCAATGCGGCGCTCAGCAACCCCATTCTGCTGTGGGGAGTCCGGAAGCGTGAAGGTCTGCTCGATGCCCTCCGCCTGACAGAAGGTCCTCAAGAGGTCGGAGGAAAACTCACCACCTCTGTCAGAGTGCAGACGCAGGACAGGAAGATCCGTCCGGAAACGGCGGCGGAGCTGGAGACGAACTGTGCGGATCCAAGGGATCAGAACAGCAGGGACCTCACCCTTGGTGCGCAAGGGGAAGACCGTGGTGTAACGCGAGTAGTCGTCGACAACCAGCAAAAAGTACCGCTCACCGCCCTGACCACGAACGCGGGCTGGGCCCCACACGTCCAGGTGGAGGGTCTGCAGAGGAGCCTCTGTCGGGGGGAACGAGGAGGAGTGAGGAGCGGCGCGCTGCCGCCCTTCGACGCAAGGAAGGCAAGGCGGCGCAGGCGAGGCAGGGAGGGGAGGGAGGGACCTGGGAAGACCAGACACAAGGTGGCGACGGTGCATGCCACGAAGGCGTGGCAAGGAGGGGTGACCCAGGCGGTGGTGCCAGAGAAGAGTCTGGTGCGACAGGGAACGACACTCACAGGCGTGGGCTACCAGACCTGACGCAGACACCTGACCGACAGCAGCGACCTGAGGAGACGCAGTGGTCAGTGTGTAGAGACTCGACCCCGGCCGACGGGTAAACGTAGCCAGGTGACGGCCGGTCCTGGAGCACGTGCAGATCGCCACACGCTGTCCTCCAGGGGTAAAGGTGTCAACCCACTGATCCTGGAGGACAGCGTTGCTCACCAGGTTCGTCGAGAACGAGGGGAGGTGGAAACCCGACAACGAGCCAGACGGAACCGCCGGACAAGGGAGGACAGTGGTGGACTGGGCAAGGACTGGGCCCCCAGAGGGGTCAGCCAAGGAGACTGGGACCGGTGCAGGAAGCGGTGTGAGCTCAGTACTGTCACGAAAGAAGCAACGGGAAGCACCTGAGTCAAGGGTGAAGGTGTGACAGGCCTCAGCCGGTGCGGTACCTGAGAGAGCAGTCTCTGTGGGTGCTGTACCTGAGAGAGCAGACTCGAAAACAGCCGGGACAGCACTGGAGGGAGCAAGTACAGGGGGCACCATACCAGAGAGAGCAGACTCACTAGTACCCAGGGCAGCGGGCTCTATACCTGGGTCAGGCGGCACACACAAGTAACAGTCTCCCTCGGCACTAACAGTCAATGCATACATGGCAGCAATAATAGCATCATAGTCAAGAGCAAAGACATCAACACCAGCCCTCATGAGCTCAGCCCAGCGGGGGCGCTCAACATCCGCACCCATCTCCTCACGCCAAGCGTCGTCAAGGCGGGAGAAGCAGCGGTACGGGGTGTGGAACCTCCCACACGTCTGTCCCTTGCGGTCACCTGTGCGAATGACATAAGAACAGCGGCCACTGCCCCCCGACGTCCCACGCTGAGCAAGCCACTCACGAAGCTGCTGGGTCGTCTGGGGACGCTGCTGCTGCTGGGAGCCCTGGCCCGAGCCAGTGCCTCCACTCCGACCTCCGCCGCCACCACTGCCACCGCTCCGACCGCCACCGCCACCACCGCCACCACCGCCACCGCCGCCACCGCCGCCGCCGCCACCACCGCCACTGCTCCCTCCGCCGCCCCCCCCACCCGCCCGCCCGCACCCCCGCCACCCACCTGTTTCCCTTGTCTTCCGCATCCATAGCTGCGCGCCATTCTTGGCTATGGGGTCCAGTCAGCGCGTCGCGGGTTTTTCGGCTCGATGACGCACGCATTTGCGGAGGTGGTGATGAAGCCCCAGCGGCTGCAGTCCAGAGATGATGGTGTCATGGTGATGTTATGGAATGACCTCCTGCACGTCATCGTCATCACTCCAGATTTGTGCCTGCTTGCTTATCCGCGCGAAACAGCACAAAGGTAAGTTGTTTGCATGGGATGTCATGCGCGTGTGTAATTTTGTTGCTGAGGAGGTCAAGGTTGTACTTGTAACTGATGCTGAGGTGAATGCACTAGCGTTCGCGGCTTGTGATCTTCCCGATACTTGAGGTAGGAGGTCGGCACTGCACCATACACCCCCATATACGGAGCATGGAGGAATCTCCCTTCTTGCCCGTCCACTTCATGTGCGACGATAGTTTGCTTGCGATGTCTGTGGTGGAGATGAGGTTGTGCATGCGTAGAGCATGGTGCATTGAGTACGGCCAGCGGGGAGCTTCGACTGTGCACCTTCCTCTTTAGTGCGCGATTGGTATGCTCAACGACTCATTGTTGTGGGTGCGCATAGGGGAGTAATATGTGTTGCAATATTCCCTTGTGGCCTAGGTTATCTTGCAGCTCTTTGCTGCAAAATTTTGTTGCGCCACCAGTCTACCAAATTTGTAACTTCCTCCTTGACTGTCGTTGCGCATGAACCGACCAGAGGCAAAAAACTTCGTACACCCTCCTGCAGAACTGCACATTCGTGACCCAGACACAACGGGTTCCCGCGTCTACGAAGGTAAGTGTGTAGCCTTCGTCGTTGAGCCCGTAGTGGCTGAGAACTTGAAGACTTCAGTAGCGATGCCGTTGTTCAGCGTTGAGCGCGATGGATGTCCGAGGTTCTGATGCTACAGGTCATATGATGCATGGAGTCCAGAGGTGCGCAAGTAGCGCGTGTGTGCTTTGTCTGGATCTTCATCAGGTACGGGGGTAGATTTCGCTGGTCCTTTTTTTTTTTTTACATCATCAATGTCCGCATTTGTCAGCGTACGTGCGAGAAACTCTCTATTGGGGATGACAGAGGGAGGGATACTCGTCATGGAGATTATGCTGGGGATGAGTGTAGGTTCGTGCGGCTCGGGATCGTGGCCATAGATGGTGCGACAAGGGGTCGACGTTTCGTTCCCCAGTCGATCGTGTCCTAGGGGTTGCGTTCTGGCAGGATGTCCGCAGGGAGCGGAGGTGGTGCAGGCAAGGGCAGGGGGCGGCCGAAGGGAACGACTGGTAGATTGGTTTCTTCGAATCCCCCCCCTTTATTCTTCTTGGATGCGCGGAGCGCCCCAGCCATCGCCAGATTCTCCCCATCCGCCGCTAGTGCTGCCTCATCCGCTATCGCGGTGCCCCAGTCGTCGCATGCGGTTGCCCAGGTTCCTTAAGTGTTGCCCGAGGTGCCGCCGTTGGTAGATCCCCATCCGTCGTTGCTTCCCCAACCCCCCTTTTTGGAGGCACCTTCTCCGGCGGATTCACCCCAAGGCGAATGTGCCACGCGCCTTTGTGATGCTCTTGCAGTGTAGCTCCTCGGCTTTGTGGCGCGCTAGCTTTTGTTCGCCTTCGACGCTTAATTTATTCATCAGAGCGCGCCAGTGGGGGTAGTACTGCATAAATGTTTCCTTGGTGTAGGGGCGTCCTTCGCGTGCTCATCATAGGATCCGCACCTTCGCCCTCGAAGTATTCATTGAAGGCGTTCCTTCGCGGAGCCGGGAAGCAGTTCGACTGGCATACCGAAATCGTGGCTCATTGCGCCTTTGAGCTCCAGCGTTGATATGCCTTGGTGTGGTGACGTGTATTGCTCAGCTTCAATGATCGCTGCAAGTCCTCTGCCAGCGACATTGGTTGCAGCGTTAGGCGTGCGGCAATACTCGCAGATGCCGTCAGGGTCGGGGTCGTGCAGTGTCGTCTCACGTGCATGTGGGTGGTGCGGCACCCAAGGTCTGTCGTCTCGGTGTTTCCACTCAGAGCAGTGAATGTAATTGAAGCAAAGTGGCACGAGATCAATAAGTTCGCCCGTGTCGCCACTGCAGTCTAGGATGTCGAAATCCAAGACGTAAACATCATTGGCGGCGCGTGCGCGTTCGAGGTATTTGTGCGACTTTCAGGCAGCGCGTAGTGAAGCACGATATCTCGCGTTCTTGGGTCTTTGCGCAGTTCCACACCGCAATCTGACAATCGCAACACCAAAAGCAGGTTCTGCACGGTCAACGCATCATTCAAGGTGATGTGTGTAATGCTCCCACGTTCAAGACGACGATCCCCTGTGCGTTTGCCCGCATGCACTCGTTGTTTGCCATGGTGATGTAGGTAACCACGGGGGTGGGGATGGCTTTGGAGATGAAACGCTTGGAGCCCACCATATGTTGCTCGCAGCAGCTATTGAGGTATCACATGTTGTGCTGCTTGTCGTCATCACGCGCGAGAAGTGCGAGTCGCGGCGGGACGATGTGCGGAGTGTCGAACTTGAAGAACTTTTCCCACACAATCCAGTCAATGGGTGCTGGCCTTGGATCAGGTATATGCGGCTGGCTTTCAAGTAGTGGGACTGGTAAGTTCCAGTCCTGGTCGTTGTCATCATTGTAATTGTGGTTTGGGGTAAAGGGGTTATTTTGCTCAGACGCATGGATCGGATACGGCATATGCTCTAGTGATGGTGTGCGTATGCGGCGACAAGTTTCCCATCTGTGGCGCATTGCCATGTTGCTGATGACGTTGCGCGAGCCTTCAGGTTGTACCGGCTGCTGCCATTGGTGCTAAACCGTTGGATTTGCACTACACGGTGCAAGCTGAGGTCCCGGGGCTTAACGTATGTCTTGTTGAACGTCTTGTCGGCCGGCCCAAGTGCTCGGATTGGACATGCGATGGCTGGAGCGGAATTTCCATAACTCCGCTGAATGCTCAAAATTTCTGCAATTTTTGCACTAGAGGCATCGCGGTCATCGCTCTTCCTTGTTATCGGTGTAGAAGGCTAGTCATTCGCGTCACGGTGCAGGTCCACGTCCTGCAATTTGTGAGGATCAAGGATCGAGCTCAGGAAAGTGGGTTGTAAATTGATTGATTCACCTGGGTAAAACACGAGGGTATATATAGCTTCGACACAATGCAGGTAACCCACGTGCTACGTGAATGTTCTGAGGGTCGCAAAGCGTCCCGAACAAAACCTTCCCGAACTCGGTAGAAAGCAATTCGATGGCGAAAGGCTTGAGTTCAGTACACGTAACTTGGTTCGGTGCTATAACTATAATGACAAATAGGAATGCACCTAACCTAGGAAATCAAGCATAAGCATGCAAGATAAAATGAACATAAGCTAGTAATAGCGTGATAAAGTAAGGCAATCTAGCAAAGCCAGCATAAGCCATCGTACTCTCACACGTCCCCCCCTTAAAGCTGTGTGACATGAGATACACCCTGCTGGACAAGATAGTCCTTAAGAGCACGGCGTGCGTTGCCCAGATCAGCCTGAGCAACCCAACTGTCCTCAGAGGGGTCGTATCCCTTCCAGCGTATCAGGAACTCGAGGGTCTTGCCACCGCGGCGCCGATGAGTGAGAATGCATTCCACCTCGTACTCTGGTTCATCCTGTACGAGAACAGGTGGTGGTGGCGGTAGCTGTCGTCCTGGAACAGGTATAGGGGTAATGCGGTAGCGTCAATCTTGGTAAAGCTGTTACAATTAGGATGAGTTCTGGCGCTGTAGACAGTGCTGTCTGTAGCTGCTCCATGGCTTGCTGTTGAGGAGTATCCCATTTGTAGGGCGTATCCTTTTTCAGTAAGTTTGCCAGTGGTGCTACTATCTTCGCGTACTGTGGCACGAACTTCTTGTAGTAGTTAGCAAAGCCTAGAAACTGCTGCAACTCCTTCACGTTCTCCGGTACTTTCCACTTTTTTATGACTTCCATCTTTCGCGGGTCCACGTGTACGCCCTCCGCACTCACCATGTGCCCAAGAAACTGCACCTTCTTCAGGGCGAAGTCGCTCTTTGACAGCTTGACGCAGAATTTAGTATTCCGCAAAATCTCACCGATTTTCTGCAGAAGCTCCACGCGCTCCTTCATATTCTTGGAGTAGATGAGTATGTCGTCCAGGTACACCACTACGCACTCGTCTGGCAGGGGCCGTATGATGTGGTTCATCTCCGCCTGGAACGTCGCTGGTGCGTTGCAGAGTCCGAACAGCATCACCAAGTATTCATAGGAGCCGTATCTAGTATGGAACGTCGTTTTGTGGGCCGAGTTGTCCGCCATTTTGATCTGCCAGTAACCCGATCGAAAGTCTAGCTTCGAAAAGGCTGTTGCACCATGCAGTTGATCGAGAAGATCGTCTATGCGCAATATGGGGTGTTTGTTTTTTATTGTCTGTTTGTTCAGTGCGCGGTAGTCGATGCACATCCGTAAACTACCGTCTGGTTTTGGAGTGAAGAGAACTGGTGCGCCGTAGGGAGAAATGGATGGGCGGATTAGTTGTCTGTCCAACAGATACTCTGTCTGTTTCTTCATGTCTGTCAGTTCGGTCAGACTAAGTCGGTATGGTGCTTGTGAGACGGATTTCGAACCTGGTTTCTCCACTATCTCGTGCTCGTGGGAGCTGCTTTGAGGTTCGGCGAAGGTGGTGCCACTTGTCTGTGAAATGTCGGTGTCGCCGCTGCTGCTGCTGCTGCTGTCGCTGCTGCATTCGCCACTGCGTTCGCTGCTGCATTCGCTGCGGCCGTAGTGGGTGCCGACTGGTTCGCGAGGTGTGCTTCGATTCGCTGCACCGCTGCTCGCATCTGGTCCAAATCGGTGCGAATATTGGCAACTTTTTGCACGAAGTTGTCTCCTTGACCTTCCATCCTTGACATCGCGTGTCCGAAAACAAAAAACGAGGGGGAGTGAAAAACACGGAACCGGTTTTACGTACCCGAAATTGGTGTTTAGCCCCTGCAGTTTTTGAAGATTGGGTTTTAATGGTCGAAAAAACTTTGCGTGTAAACGGCTCTGATTACGAAGTGTGAGGATCAAGGATCGAGCTAAAAAAAGTGGGTTGTATAATGATTCATCCACCTGGGTACAACACGAGGCTATATATAGTCTCGACACAAGGCAGGTAACCCAGGTGTTACATGAATATTCTGAGGGTCACGAAGCGTCCCGAACAGAACCTTCCCAAACTCGGTAGAAAGCAATTCGGTGGAAAGCAATTCGGAGGAACCGAAAGGCTTGAGTTCGGTACACGTAACCTGGTTTGGTGCTATAACTATAATAGCATATAAAAGTGCACCTCCTAGGAAATCAAGCATAAACATGCAAGATAAAACAAACTTAAGCTAGTAATAGCGTAATATAGTAAAGGCAAGCTAGCAATGCCAGCATAAGCCGTTATACTCTCACTCTGTTTGACAAGAAGATCAGTGCAGAGGGGGGCTTACGAGACAGCCCAATTTTTCGGAAGAAGCGCCTTGCAGGGTCTCCAGTCGGGGCCGAGTCCTGCGAGCAAAATGGTAATGAAGTGTTTTTGTAAATGGAGCTTCTGTGGTTAGTGATTTGATCGTATATGCTTTGCAATGATTAATGTAGCTATTCCCTAGTCCCACTTTGACCTCCATCAGTTGTTGGAGTTATCGACTCGACGACTTGTTGTCCTTAGACTGGTACATTTTTTTTAGGTACCGCCAGGCCTCATGTGCCGGAGCTGGCTTTGTTTTAAATGAGCGAATGCCCAGCTGCTCCGTTGGCGACATTTTCCGCTATAGCACGCTATACGCCATGAGCAAGTTGTTGTAGTACTGCGCCTTGGCGTCGTCGGTGTCAGCCGATGGGCCCGCGTAGCTGCGGTAGGAGTAATGATAAATCTACGCGTTATGGAGTAGCATCTCCAACTTGGAGCTCCAAGTATAAGAATCCTTGTCGCCAAATATGGTGCTTGTCTTGAATTTTGAAATATTTAGGTAGTTGGACTAGCTGAGAGAAATGCGTCATCGCTTGAGCGTGGAACTTTGGGTGTTGAAGCATTTGTGTCGAGGGAGAAGGTTTGCAGGCCGGTTTCAGAGCCAGTCACGACTAGTTGAGAGGGTTGAGAGGAGGTTCCCGCATTGCCATTCTGCAATTTCTGGAGCCCTTTCTCAAGAGACGATCGTCGCTGAAGTACATCTTCGAGTGTGACGGAGCTGATAGTCATCGGCGCCTCGGAGTTTGCAACCGGATTGGGTTGTGCTTCAGCCATCGATTCGTCTGACTTCCTCATCCTTCAACCATCCTTACACGTGAGTGTGTGCCTGACGCCACCTTAGTTTGCCGAGATTTTCGAAGGTGGCAATGCGAAAAATTCATGGGTCGCTCACGCGCCATATTACGATAAAAATTTTGACCGTGCTAGGATCTCCTCAGGCTGATCGCACATAGTCAATACAGTGGAAATGGCCTTAAAACAAATTGAATGAAAAATACTAAAGTGGTTATAAAAGAAACATACATTGGTTAATAAATGAAAACAAAGGGAAAACGAAACGCTCTAGCTAGCCATGTACTCTAAGGGGTACATTTCCTTTTTGCAGCGAAAATCAACCGTGCAGCGCGGGAATCGGTTTCAAATGTGTTCTCGCCAATTCCTTCTTGATGCAGCTGCCCAATGCTTCTGCCGCAGATGGTCGAGATGCTTCTATCGGTACGCAACGTATTGCATAGCTCTAACACTTTGCATTTGTACTTGCTTGTGCATGTCGTACTTGCTACTGGTAGGAATGAACTGCACTTCTCATTTCAGTTATTGTAACAAGATAAACGATCCAAGAAGGTAACAACCCATGTCACCATGGCGGGCATAACACTTGTAGCACTGCCATTGAATATGTATTGCAAGCCTTGTAGCTTCGTATCGCATATTTACACAGTCGATATTGTTGCTCGCAATCATTCCTTGTCTTTATTGAGGGAATCAAACGTTATCCAAGTCGGTAGCAACTCTAAATTGCCTTACTAGCATTATGGATGGTATACAACATCTGGCCCGGTTGCGAAACATTAAATTGTGCGCCTGTTTCAAAATCCTCCCCCAAATATCCACTGGCGACGGGTACATCTGCGCAAGGAAGAAAATGATCGGCAAGATGTAACAATTAATCACCGTTTCCCTGGCCCCTGTCTTGAGATGCTGCGCCTTCCACTGCCTCAGTTTTTCCTTTATCCACACAAAAGCCTTTTTCCCAAGTGGGGGCGCAACCCCCTGTCAGCGTCACTCACAGTCCCAAGAGTCGCTTTGCTTTGTCGGCCTTCACCTATTTGAAGCCGTCGGTCTTGCAGGCCTGCTTTTTCAGGTTCTTCCCCAAAGGCAGGATGGACGACTTCCCCTTGCTTGTGGCTAGACTGGCGGGGCCATGTAGTGGCGTAGGAGACTGGCGTGGAAAGCGTCATGGATTTTCCAGTCATCCGGTAGCAACAGCTTCGCCATGACAGGTGTAAGCATCTCAATGACGTGAAGGGTCCCTCGTAGCGGAGACGCAGTTTCGCTAGCTGGGGCAGTCAAAGATTCTTTGTGTCTAGGAGGATCATCTGCCCGTCACGGGAGGGTAATTCCCTTCGATATTTATCGTGTAGCGGCTAGCAAGAGTATTAGCCCTCCGAAAAAATTCAGTTGCGTTGTCGCGAGCTGCTTGAAGTTGCGAAAAGAACTGTTGAGATTGTGGAACTGGGTTGTCAGGGTCGTTAATGAGGGTACCACTGGGGTCTATCCCGTAAATTAGGTAGAACGGCGACTGATTGGTCGTTGCTGAGGGTACGTTGTTATATGCAAACTCGAGCATCGGGAGTGAATCTTCCCACTTGGTCAGGTCGGGGCGGTTATTGTGGATCAGCTGCTCCATTGTCTAGTTTGTCCTCTCTATTTGACCATCGGTTTGCGGGTGATATGATAACAAAAACTGCAGGCGGGTGCGGAACTGTGCCCATGTTTCCTGCAAAAATTTCGACCTAAATTTCAGGTCTCAATTGGTGATGACTGCCGAAGGTAACTTGTATAGGTGTACGACGGTTGAGATGAACACCTTCACTGTTTCTTTGGCTCTAATCTTCGTGCGGCAAGGTGCAAAATGCGCCATTTTTGTTAATCGGTCAACGGCGACCAGGACCAAGTCGTTGCCACTTGCGCCAGGTGGCAGTCTTGTGACGAAATCCATCGTCACTAGTTGCCACGATCGTTCGGTTGGCTCGAGGGGCTACAACAGTCTAGCTGGGCGTTGTCGTGACGACTTCATGGCTTGGCAGGTGTGGCAGGTGAGGTAGGTTGTCACATAGCACTGCACGGCCGACGACATGTCAAGCCAATAGTAATTCCGTTGCAGCACCTTTAGTGTTTGGTCAATGCCGACGTGCCCAGAGAGGTTAGAGTCATGAACCTCCCACGTTAGCAACTTTCATAAGGCTCAGTAAGTCAGGACACAAACCCGGTTCATGCCAGATTTTAGGTAATAGTTCCCGTGTTGCGACATGGCCCAAAGTTGTTGATTTCGCTTGAAAAAAACGATCGAAATTGTACCCGTGAGTGAATAGTCCTGATAAGCGGGTTGGAGTGGGCGATAAGTACGCAATGGGTTGCAACCCATTGCGGAAGCCTTGTAGCAGGACGGCGCCGATGGCAAAATCGCTGGCATCCGTTACGACTTCGAACGGTCGAGATGGATCTGTGAGCTGAAGCACTGGGGGTAACCTCAGAATGTTTTTGAGCTTGTTGAAGGCCGTCTGCTTGCTCTCCCCCCACAAAAATAGTGTGCCTTTATGCAGAAGGTCGATTTATGCATTGGTCCACCCCGCCATATTCGGTACAAAACGGCAGACGTGATTCACAAACCCAAGAATTCTCTGCATCTCCGTTGTGTTCATAGGCGGCTTCCACTGCAAAATTGCTATCACTTTACGAGGGTCAATTTCAATACCCTCTCCCGAAACTACGTGCCGAGGAACTCCAGCTCCGGTTTCAAGAACTCACACTTAGAGCCCTTCCTGATTAGCCGATTCTGCTGCAAGCGCCGGAACACCTTCTCTGAATCCCGTAAACGATCCTCCCGAGTCTTGCTCTACATCAGGATGTCGTCCAGGCAAACAATCACTTTTTTGTCGAGCATGTCCCGAAACATCCCATTCACGGTCAGCTCGAACATCGAGGGTGTGTTTGTCAGGCAAGTGGCATCACGGTGTAATCGTAACTGCCA